TGACGATCAGGGGCGGAACACGACTGTTGTAGTCCGGGGGGCCGAATTAAGAACATCTTCAATAGATTTTTTRAAATTGAGAAAATAAAGATTTTAGGCATATTTTTGCTCCAACAGCATCTCCAAAACTCTCCAAAATGGAGAAAACATGAGAGAGTGTAAACCAAAAATGATTATAACAAGAGAGAAACATTTTTTTAGCATATTCACACCGATAGGAATCCTTRATATTAATGGTTTATGATAGAGAAATAATATTTTTATTAGAGTTTTAATTCTCCATGRGGAATATGCTGGACATGCTATAATACTGTAAAATTTTATAAATCCAAATGATTCGTTTTTAGACTATTAAATTTTWWAAAAAAAGTTTGATTAATGTAAGATTAAAACTCGAAACATTCAAAGTATTAACGGAAAATTAGTAATATCAACTTAAACATTATTTATATATAATTAATACATTATATAATTTACTCCAAAAACTTAAACATTCAAAGCATTAACAAAAAAAATAGTAATACCAGTGTAATTTACTCTACAAACTTATGTCATGGAGTCCGATTATATCACTCTTGTATTTTCATCTAAACTCATGCAGTAACAAATGTTATTTAATCGACGAATTACTTTTTATCGCGGTTGTTATTAATATTTTATTAATTTTATAATTATGAAGACTTTGTTTGATCGTTATATCATCAAAACTTCATTTCAATATATTTTATAATCATAATATTTAAGTATAAAATTATCATTTTAAAACTCTAAGGGGCCGTTTACCTAAATGCTTACCCGGTAAACGTTTATCTTAAGAGTCAACACTATTATTTATTTTATCGGGTAAGATTGTAGTACATCAAAACGTATCTTATGCAACAATTTTACCTGGTAAGCGCTTACCCAGATAAGAGTCGTCACCCTCACTTACGGGGTAAAACTTTCCATTCTTATCATCGCTCTTACCGGGTAAGATTTTTGCCCTTTGYCATGTTCAGTTGGTAAGAAAAATTGTCCAGTAAGTACTCACCGGGTAAGCGTTTAGTAAACGGCCCCTAAGTCTCCTTAACAATTGTTTCACAATAAAATATTTAGTTCTAACTATAGAAACCAACAATTTTTAGCCTAATTAAAATGAAAAATAAACAATATTTAGCTTGACAAACAATGAAGAGATCAAGTTATTATTTAAATAAAACATTTGCTAGACTTGATATGTATTATTTTAATGGTAAATAAATGGGGAGGCCAAAATAAAWTTTCAATTATTTTATAATTAAATTTTCAATCTATTGTAGGATGGAGATGCAAAGGCACAGGGGCCATGGCCCCCCTATGCCCCTTAAGCCATCCGCCACTGGTGACGATGATGAATGTGTTTTTGTGTGTTCGATCTGAGGAAGAAGTGAGGTAGGGGTACATGGGGTAGGGTGGGGTAGCTAAAAGACAAAAGGGAAAATGACGAAAATAACCCTGACTTGATGGACCATTATAACAGAGTTAGTGAGATAGATCAATTTCAAAGTAAAATAGTAGGAACGATAATTATAATTATTGAAGTTTAGGGACCACTTTTGAATATTGATGTAAACCACAGACCAAAACTATAGTTTACTCAAAACTAAAAATAAACCACGTGGTCGTATTAAAAAAATGAAGATACTTAATTATCTATATAAATGATAATAATCAAAAGATGATGTGACATCTTGAAAGAGTTAGAATTATTAGTTGTTATTTTTTTTAATTTTTGAATTATTTAAAATAAAAACATATCATTAAATGACTGAACCATTTACTTTATATATATAAGTTACATATAATAATCTAATAAACCTTTAAATCCTTATATCTATAATCTATAAGTAAGAACCAAAAGACATGATATGGTTCAATGTGGATTGAGAATTCCAAAATATTGAATTGTAATTAACTTTGTCCATCACACGTTGATAAAAATATGATATAGCACATGGTTTTTTTATTTATTTATGATTACTTTAACTCATTTTGGATTAAGTAGTTAATTTTAATTACAAGTTTCTTTGTGTTGATTTGATATTCCATTTTGCTATACAATTAATACGATACGTTTATTTCATTTGTTTTGTTTATATTATATCTTGGTATATGCTAAAGTAAGAACCAAGAGAAATGAAATGACACAATATGGATTACATGTCATGTCAGTAACCATAAATTACATCTCTACACTAAAAAAACGGTGGAGAAATCTCGATCTGAAATATAGATTGGCCGTTTGAAGAGGGTGAAATCTCGTACGAGAAGAACCCATTTTTTAGGAATTGTAACCTCCGACTTTTTGGAATCCGGATCTGAAATCCATCACCACCTGCATCTTCCATAAGTTCTCTTAGGTTTTTGTAATGTTCAAGTGGAGGTGAACATGGACAGATCTAATCACATTACATTTGTTTCATTTATTTATTTTGATGTTTTAAAAATGAACTTTACTCTTTATAGAAATAAACTTTTGAATAAATTGTGTTTTTTTCCCTAGTCCATTAAAATTTACAATTTTCATCCCTATTGTTTAGAAATTGTTGTTTTGGTCCCTATGGTTTGTAATTCATTGTTATTTTTGTTCTTATGATTTATGATTTATTGTTGTTTCAATCGATATGGTTTACAATTATTTACTGTTTTGGACCCTTACACTTTAAATATAAGAATTACTATATGGACAAAAATAACAATAAATTATGAACCATAGAGATGAAAATCATAATTTTTTAAACCACAGGGATGAAAATCATAATTTACTCTCATTTTTTATTTATGTATCGTAAATTTATAATCATATCATTTGTCTCCAGGACAAACTCATTCTAACTTTTTATCAACTAAGCTACAAACTCAGAGACAACATCCCTTTTATATTATTAAATCTAGAGGTTTGATTTCATCATATTCATGTAATATAATTCTTGAATGAATTTAATAAACCCCCTCTATATTTCCAAGAATTATATTGTAGGAATACGATGGAATTAAACATCTAAAAGTACTAATGGCCCGTTTGGTACTAATGGTTGGGTTTGTAAACGGACCACCTCTCTCTCTCTCTCTCTATACATATATATATATATATATATATATCTAAGTTTAATATTTAATATATTGATAAGATATATTTATTTTACAACATGTTTGTTTCATATGTATTCGGTTCATAATTTGAAAATTTTTATGTGTATTTTTTTTCTTCATAAACATGCCAAAAAAGTTTTACATTATAAACCAAATATTAATCACTATATTAAATTTTAATCATAGATGAAAAAAAATCATAAAATAATACATGATGAATGTTATTAAAAAATCTGATAAACTAAAAAGCAGTAAAAAATCCAATTAATTTCCAATGTGTGTAGTAATAGCTTTGGATTTCATAGACTTGGTCTAATAACACTAATAAACTCTAACTACTAAGAAGAAGAAGTTGATTCACAAGTGTAAATGCTATAAAAAAGATCCATTTCCATTAGGAACAAAGATTACAATTCATAATGAATAAAACACATGGTTGTCTTCTTTTGGTCTCAATGGTATTCTCTATTCAAAATGAATAAAGTTGTCCCATTCACATGGGTCAATATTTAACTAAGAGTAAACCACAAATTTGGTCTCTATAGTTTGTCGAAAATCACCCTTTTAGTCTCCGGTTTCAAAATTATAAGATGTTCATCATGGTTCATAAAAACGTCTATATTTGATCTCTTTGGGGCTGTTTATCAAACACTTACCCTCACGATAAGCGTTTACCGGTTAAACTCAACATTATCATTTACTTACCAGGTAAGATTTTAGTAAAAAATAATGGGCATCAATTTACCCGGTAAACAGTAATCGTGATTAGAGTCATCGCTCTCAGTTACCTAGTAAAACTTTTGATTCTTATCTCGCTTTTACTGATTAAGATTCTTAATTCTTATCATATTCATCTGGTAAAGTAATATGACTTGATAAGTGTTTACCTGGGTAAGTATTCCGTAAACAGCCCCTTCCTCTAACCTTTAAAAAATTCATTATATGAGAGACATTTCCGTTCTTTTATAACCCGATAACATCAATAAACAATCCGATAATGTCAATACACAACAAATACGCAATAAACTGAAGCAACAATAATTTGTAAACTTAAAATTTAAATAATTGGGCAAATAAAAAAGTAATGTACTTTAACTTGATTCTTATTTTGGTAACGTACTTTCAAAACTTTCATTTTGGTCACTAAGATGTAAAGTTTTAAACATTTAAGTACTCGGGTAAACGATTGAAGTATTAACTCCTTCTTCTAATGAACCACAATACATAAAAACTAATTTTAGATTAAGATATCCATGTCAGCAAATAATACTGAGTTGGATATCACATCACTCGTCACATCAGTATGGTAACCGGTTATCCAGGAACTTAAATACTTAAAACTTTACATCTTAGGTACCAAAATAGAAGTTTTGAAAGTAGGTTCCCCGAAATATGAATGAAGTAAAAGTACATTAATTTTTCATGTAATTTACCCTGAATAATTTTATATTAATAATCAAAACAAAATGCTTAAAAAGTTGCTTAAAATTTTTTTTATGGAAAAAAATTGACCAGCCTCATACGAAACTCGTCCCAAGAACATCAATGTGATCAGTGGAAATCTTTTAAAACACTCAACAGTTAAGGTTAACGGAGTGCCAAGATCAAACCACGCACCCGTCTTATAAAACAAATACTTTTATCTTATTTTTATAAATATATCAGGTATTTAAAAGGTGTAATAATTTAGAATGATAAACCATAAATAATAATTTGAGTGAATTACGGTTTTCGTCCATATAGTTTCATGAAATTAACATATTTAGACCCTAATCTGAATATAGTTGCATTCCGCAATGCCCAAGAGAGAGACACGAATTCGTAGTGTTTTTATAAGAGTTCCATATTTGGCACAACACTTGTAAAACTTGTTAAGACATCTAAAAGAAAACGTACAGTTGTTCGGTCTAATAAACTTTAAGTCCTACAAAACAGTGTATGAAGACATTTAAACATATTTGACGTCTTACAAAATCTGATTTTATTGTAGTGACTGAAGTTACATATAGTATGTGCTTTCTACCGAGCAACAACGTCTGTGATGGTTAAACCAGTGGTTGAATTTGTTGGATTAGTACTTGATGAGAAATCAGCACCAATTAAGTTCCTTTCTGTGAAAAATGCTGGTTGTTTCGGCTGTGACAATGCACCCTCACTACCGAACATCATAATCACAGACGGCATGTCTGGCCTATCTTCCGGACTTTGTTGGACACATAACAACCCCACTTGGATTGATCTTAAAACTTCAGATGGATCGCTTGATTCAGCCAAACTAGTATCAATAAGGTCCATTGACCGGCCTTCATTATGCATTCTCCATGCCTGAATATAAGGTGGAAATAGTTATTACGTATAGTAGAAAGACTACACATTACAACAAAATTGGGTTCATAGGACGTCAATAATGGCTAAATGTCTTAACGGACCACTTTACAGGACTTAGGTTTATAAGACCAAACAATAAAAACGTCTTAACAAATTTTTAGGACCAATTTTAGAATAAAGCGTCAAATTAGCTATTATATCGGATAATTTTTAGCAGTATCCTATAAACACATCTTTTTATAAGAATTTCTCATATAGTGTCCTAAAAAATAGCTAATACGATTTTTAATATAAAAATGTTTTAAGATGCTCGTTAAGACGCACAAAAACATCTTATAAACTTATTGGAACACTTTTAGATAAGACGCTTTACTGTTTGGTCCTATAAACCTAAATTCTATAAAACAGTCTATTAGTTCATTAGGACACATGACATTTTGGCATTCTATAAACCCAAGAGAGTGGTTTGTGGGCGTTGAAACCTACATGTCCGATAAGGTTATTGTCATGCTCGGGATGCACGAATCCTCTATTTCTCTTCCCGCTCACAATCTCCAACGTTAAAACACCGAAGCTAAAGACATCAGACTTTATCGAGAAAATACCATCTAATGCATACTCCGGGGACATGTAACCACTGAACACAGCAAAATGCTCAGAGTCAAGTTAATAATTGATTCAAGATAAAGTTGGGTGTTTGTGTGCGTGTATATATATATATATATATATATATATATATATATATATATATATTATATATATATAGCTTACTATGTGCCAACAACTCTCTCTGTGTTTGCTTGAGTCTCATTTCCTCCAAAGCTTCTGGCTATGCCAAAGTCTGATATCTTCGGGTTCATATCTTGATCTAGTAGAATATTGCTAGCTTTAAGATCTCGATGGATGATTCGTAATCGTGAATCTTGATGTAGATAAACAAGCCCTCGAGCAATTCCTTTGATAATGTCGAATCGCTTTGTCCAATCAAGGGTGGTTCTTTGCTTTTCATCTGGCCAACAAGTAGCTCGGTTTAGTTATTCATAGTTCAGAATTAGAATCAATGGAATTATATACGTATACGATATGATTCTGACCAAATATAAACCGATCTAGGCTTCGGTTTGGCATGTACTCGTAGATCAACAACTTCTCTTCCCCTTGTATGCTGCATCCGAGAAGCTTAACAAGATTTCGGTGCTGAAGTTTTGAAATGCAAATGACTTCGTTCTTGAACTCATCGAGCCCTTGACTGGAAGTCGTGGACAGACGCTTAACCGCGATCTCTATCCCTTCTTCTAGCATACCCTAATGATTAATTACCATTTGCAATGTGAAAAACTGCACAGATTTGTGTTCTTGTTATATATAATGGATTGCATTATGAATTTTACCTTATAAACGGGTCCGAATCCACCCTCTCCAAGTTTGTTATTGAGTGAGAAATCAGCAGTGGCTTTAGATATTGTAGAAAAGCTAAACAATGGGAGCTCCATGGCTTCATTCTTCTGGGTTTCACAGGCAGGCAACATTGCTCCTATATATGCATTACAAATACATGTATATATGTATTAAACTTGCTCCTATATATGCATTACAAATACATGTATATATGTATTAAACTGAGAGAATCTGCTCAAAGGATTTCATAGTTATTCATTATGAATAGGGTTGTTTTCTTGTGATCCCTCCAATTTGCTGCAAAATTTGGGCAATTTTCTTACCTTCCTCCATTGGTGCAAGATGGCCTTTTCTCCATGTGTACCAGAACCATGTAGAGCTCAAGCTTACAAGAAGAACGACAAGAAAGACTACTGGTAAGATGATTTTGATGTTTGCTCCTCCTTTCTTTTTGGAAACTGAATCTATTCAGCAGAAGAGGTAGATCTCTCATATAACTTAATCAAGGTCAGTTTGTTGATATATATATATATATATACACACACACACAGATAGGGGCAAGTTCCATTAGAACCTAAATTCATTAGGAACCCTGAAAATACCCATAGCATGGGACATGTGACATATCCATCATAATATAGATGTGCTATTCATCATGAATCACACATTTACGATGAATAACATATTCATCATGAACGTGTGATTCATAATTACGTCTATATTCACCATAAATGTGTGATTGATGATCAATAACACTTCTATATTCATCATGAATATGTTATTTATGATCGTGAATATTCATCTTAAGATAGACAAGTATCGTTTTCTGGGCGGTTACGAGTTCGTAACGGAACTTCCCTCTATACACAATGCATATATATATATATACTTTGTTTAGGGAACTTGAGCTAGAGATAATTACCTAATTCAGAAGAAGCCATTCTTACAAAGACATCCTGACCACCATTGCCATCAAAGTATACTCTAATGTCTATGAGGTCATTAAACCAAAGCAAGCAGCCACTTCCTTCCCCTCTAATGTCCATATTTGCATAAGCCATACAACTACAATTCTTCAGGCACATTTCTTCACACTCCTTCAGATTCTTACTCCTGTTAAACCAACTAGTATGTGTATCTGGCAACTTTACATTAGAATACTTAATGAACACATCTGATCCATTTTCACAATCCAATGATCTTCTCCTAACACAACCACCAGACCAATCTGATGTCTCCCAACCCTTAGGGTTTCTGGGCAAAAGTCTTGTGCCATCTAAACACACACATCTCGACAAGGTCACAGAGCTGCAACTTCCATAACCACCACAGATGTTGTATGAATCACATAAATCTTTCGGTAACTCGAGAATCATCTGCCATTTCTTTTCATCTTCCACCCACACCAAACGTTCTACAACCCCAGAAGGAGTCAAGACCAGCCTCGATACACGAGAAGTGTTATAAAGATCATAAGTAAAAATCACTTCAGTTTCGTTAATAACCACGTTGTATGTAAAGATCGTGTTCTTATGCAAACCAGAAGCCCCACTGAATCGTAGACCATTCCATGGTCCACCCCGGAACTTGATCGCCGAACCATCTTTTAGTAGGTTCTGTGGATAACTACGTGCGTCAACGGACCAGGTGAACTCACCGGGTGATGGATCTTGGCTAGATTTCCATGATGAGAGATACCATTCCTTTCCGGTCAAGAAATCTTTCCCAAACTTCATGCCAGGTAGAAGAGTATCAGTGGGATAATCAAAACTTTGCCAGACAATCATCTTCTTGTCTGTAACAACTAGGTTTCCGGTGTCGTCAAGATGTGCAATTGTGTTGGCTGATGATGTTGTGTTTGTTGACCAGACTACATCGTTGGTAATGTTGTTCATGAGGACAAGAACTCCGGGATCGGCGATCTTTAAAAGATAACGTGATGACGGAAGGGTGAGTGAGAAATTTCTGTTGGCAACCCAAACCACTGTTTGAACAGAGATTTTCTTGTACCAAATGCCAAGGTACCTGTTCTCATCAGACCCACCTGGCCGGAAAAAGCCCAGTTCGAAAACTCCGGCCGGCGAGACCAACGTGTCTTCTTCTGTCAGGAACAATGAATCTGTAATGATGTCGATTTCAGCATTGTGGGTTTTCTGAATGTGGAGTGAAACAAGTAAGAGAATGAATATGGTTGTAGTTCTACTTCTTTCCTCCATTGAAATCCTCTTGTTTGAAGCTTTCTGTAATGGAGGTTTTACTTTCATCTACCATGGTACAAAGTGCCAGTGTTTCTATAAATGATTACAGCTGCTATCTTTATAATTCTATATTTATTTCATTTATCATATTTTCAAATTGTGAGTAGAATTATTTGTGGATACCATTTTAAGAAATAAAAATGTGACATAGAATAAACAACAAAGTAACATGGGAGAGTCGGAATCAGCGTGCCCTAGGTTCTAAGGCAATAGATTGTATAACTTGGTTTTTTTTCGAATAACTGATGACTTGGTATCATGTGAGAGGAGTCTATTTTTGTAAAACCTACGTAACTGTTTTTTTACACTTGAAATTACAAAGCAAAACGATGTGAATGTAACCTTCACAGTGTTTTTGCTGTGAAGGTTACTTTCACGGCGTTTTGCTGTGAAGTTTCAAACGTAAAAAAGTAGTTTAACAGGTTTCAATAGAACAAACTGGTTTCACGTGAATCCAACCAACTAAAAATTACTATTTTTAGAAACTATTTTTCTCAAATAGTTAAAGTTGACACTTAAATTTAATTAGAAGGGTGGATTCTATTTAAAGTGTATTTTCAGGCAAAAAGAAATAATTTAAAAATACAAAACATTTTATATTTTTGTTATATTAATACACATAATCGTATAATAAACGGTCTCTAAGATTCATATGGGCTTATTTAATTAAGCAAAACCCCAATGTCAAGTCAGTGGCCCAAAATTTCACAATTTTGATGCAAAGATCAAGATCTTTATGCCAAATAGTAATACTGCTAAGAGTTAAAATTCAATTATTACTTTATTTAGAAAGAGCAATATGTAGATCTATATTCATGTGTTGGAAGACCTTTAACATATGGTCGTCGAAAGAAAACATCGACACCTATTGAATGTGGTCTAGGCATTTTTGGAGTTTAATATTCCTATTAAATTGTGGACCGAGTACGTGTTGATAGCTACCTACTTGATTAATAAGACTCCTGGGCTCCTTACTAGCCCCAATTGTTAAGGCTGGCAAAAAGATTGCCACCTCATGTTGGTATCGGGTTTCAGGTGGCACCAGCATTGCCGGTGATAAACTTTGTGTTCAAAAACGACACTATCAGCTTCTATAGATAATAATTCTCCATGCATGAAAGTTGTTTGCTTATGGTGTCGCATATTGATCAACACTTCGACTTTTGGCCTCTGGATTTGTCATTGCACCAAGTTATTATCAAAACCTATAAAAATATACATTAATATTTCATTTAAGTCCAGTTCTGTTATGTCTTATATGGATAGAACAGTTATCCAGTTTCGATAAGAAATGATGAACATGACATAACTGGTGAAATGATCAATTTACTTCTAACGAGATGTTTTATATATTTTGATTAATTTATGTAATTAATTATATTATAACAAAATAAATACTTTTTATAATAAAATATATCATTAGAAAAAAGTTTCAAGACGACTAAAATGACATCAAAATATAAAGTTTATTAATTTCCAATTTTTAGTTTATATTCTTTTTTTATTATTGTATTATTATTATTATTATTTAAGAAATTACATAAATCAACCAAAGTATAAAAATCATATTTTGAGGACAGTAAACTGGGTTTAAAGAGAATAAAATATAATAAATAAAATATAAAGAATGAACATAATATAAAAAGGAGATGTATTTGAATTTAAAAAAAATATATTTAATTGATAGTATATCCAGTAACTTCAAATCCAACTTAAAACCATGGTGGAAGTTATTGATAGCCTACTACTTGAGATTTATAAAGAACTAACAATTCTCATATTCTATCCATGTGGAATGAGTTGTTACAAACTACCCCACTTAAACTCCTGACATTCTCGTCACGCTTACCTAGAATCTTTCTCCTTGTCATTGGCAATGTGGGATTCGCCTAAGATATTACAAACACCCCCTTTTAAGGACTCATCATACCCGATGAGGTTTGCCCCACTATCCCAATGATACAAAGATCGCCTCTAATACCATTTGTAACGCCCCCGAAGCAACCCAATAACTTCGATCCGACTTAAAGCCATGGTGGAAGTTATTAGTAGCCCACTACTTGAGGCTTATAAGGAGCTAACAATTCTCATCTTCTATCCATATGGGACGAGTTGTTACATATTTAATGTACCAGATACATCCTTCATATCATGTTATACCCCATCCTCAATGTATACCAAACAATATATTATTTAACCAAAATTATTAAAATCCAAGAAAAAGATATAGTCCATAATCCATAACAACAGGTAAGGGTTAGATCAATTTTTTTGACCCGGCCAAATTATATTTGCGGTCCAGTCCAGAAATCAAGGTCCAATATAGACAAATTCAAACGTTTTTGGCCCCAAAAAACAAAAGCAAGACGGCCCGTGGAATACTTGGGCCCAAGTCAAGACACTCGTGAATTCATGATCATGAGTTTAACCTAGGAATGGCAACGGATCGGTTCGATCCGGTTATTGGTATCCCCGTCTCTGAGATTGAAATTGATAAGTAAAACTGTCCTTTTAACATCCTCGATTTCCATCAGGGATGTTATCGGGGATACCTGTCGGGTCCCCATGGTTTCCCAGATCCCGTTTGGGGAACCCATTAAGGGTAAAAATCTTCTTTTTCTTGTTGGTTTACTCGTTCACCATTGGTTATACCTGAACCGGTCTGAAAAAATTACAACATCTTAATTTTCACAAGTAAATTACAATTTTTTTTAAGATGCAAGTATAAATGTCTCAAACATAATCAAACCAATTACAAACAACGTCTTAGATTACAATTTAAAAGTAAACAGAAATTCAAACGTCATACAACTAACATCATGATTTTACGATTAGACAAATAAACTAGATTTTTTCGTGAGCCTTATTTAGGATGTTGAGGTAGAGTGGATAAAAGTCTTTTAAGTTTTAATTTTAATATTTTCTTTTAATGATATTATATATATATATATATATATATATTTGTGTGTGTATATATATATAAAATTAATATATAGACACATACACGATAGCCGGTTTGGGCCGGTGATCACTGTTCCCATCCCCATCCCCATCCCCATCCCCGTTAAAATCCCCAAATATGTCCCCAATCCCCGCCCCCTACTCCATTAAAATCCCCAAATATGTCCCTGATTCCCGTCCCGTCCCGTCCCTGAAAGTTCCATTTTTCGGTTTTCACAATCGATTTAGGGTTTTTTTTTGTCATCCCTAATTTAACCCGATCTAGATCCACAACGTTTAACCCTAAACCGATTGGCTATATTACCAAATAGTTTGTATTAATTTTTTATCTATATATAAATAATTTTTAAATAATTATCAAATAAATGTGTATTTTATCTTATTTCATGAATAATGTGAATTAATAAATAAATTAATACGTCTGTGGTTTATATAAATTTATAAATCACAAGAATAATAAGCATAATTAGTATTTAATTTTTAAAAATAACAAATAGTACACTCTCAAATGTACACTCTTTTAATATATAATAATTATCATTTAGATATTAATTTTAATTAAATTATTAAGTTATTCTGTGTTTTTTATTTTAATTTTTTTATAAATTAGTTTCTAAAACAAAAATAAGTTTAAAAACTTATTTCTTTTTATAAATTAGTTTTTTTTAACAAAAATATACACCATCATAGGTCATGTTCATCTGTTTTAAACAGATCTTACAGTTATCATGGAGAAGGCAAATCAGTACATGCATCTCGTTATTTTTTAAAGGTGTTTTGAAACAGGGAAAAGTTAAAAAAAACCAACAAACTTTTTAATTTTGAATGATTTATTCCCTAAACTATTTTTTAAGGGCAAATTACATGAAAGGTAACGTATTTAAACTTGATTCATATATTGGGTAACGTACTTTCAAAAAATTTATTTTGATATATTACACTCTTTTAATCTGGGTACTTAAATGTTTAAAACTTTACATGTTATATATCAAAATAAAAAGTTTAATGGTTTTTTATTAAAAAAAAATAATTCAAAAACTTGATCATTCAAAACGAGAAAGTTTAACATTTTCAAATTTAATTCAAAAAAATAGCTTAAGAAGTAAACCATTCAAAATGAAAAAATTTGTTAGGTTTTTTCTAAAATTCGACTAAAAAACACATCGAAAAACTTGACGAAGCATCTGTTTCAACAAAAAGCCAGAATACATCACTATAATTAAGAGGTAGAGGACAAGCTTATGAAAATGTCAAAGGATTTAATGTAAATCATTAATGGCTGAATTAATAGCACCTTGCCCACTGCTCAGGCTCCATCAAATAATCATAAAAGTGATGGCAAAATCACTGAAAACCAGAATTCAATGGAGGAATCAGTAACAACAACCACCATATTCCTCCTCTTTTCTTTACTCCACTTTCACAAAGTCCACACAGCTGAACTCGCCACCATTTCAGACTCACAGTTCTTGACAGATGAAGACACCTTGGTCTCGCCGGCCGGAATTTTCGAACTGGGATTTTTCCGGCCAGCACCTGGTAGGTCTGAGAACAGGTACCTTGGTATATGGTACAAGAAAATCTCAATTAAAACAGTCGTTTGGGTTGCCAACAGAGACTTCCCGATCACCGGAGCACCATCACACCATGTCTTAAAGATCGCCGATCCCGGAATTCTCGTCCTCATGAACAATATCACCGTCGTCTGGACGTCACCCAATACAACCATAACATCACCGAACGCAACCGCAAAGCTTCACGACACCGGAAACCTCGTCGTGGTGGACGTTCACAAGAACAATATCTGGCAGAGTTTTGATCACCCAACTGACACCCTTCTTCCCGCCATGAAGTTTGGGAAAGATCTCTTGAACAACAAAGAATGGTATCTATCATCATGGAGAAGTAATCAAGATCCAAATCGAGGTGAATTCACATGGAGATTCGACACACGAAGCTATCCACAAAACCAACTAAAACAAGGTGAAATGGTGAGGTTTCGTGAAGCACTTAGTGGCGATTCAACAGTCAGTAACTTGTTGATTGCATACGACGTAGTCATCAATTCAACCGAGGTAACTTTCACTTATAACGTTGTAAACAGTTCGATCATATTGAGATCCACCTTGAGTTCATATGGGAAGCTAGAAAACTTGATGTGGGTTGAAGATGGTAAAAGATGGCAACTTTTATCAGCATTACCAAGAGATATCTGTGATACATACAACATTTGCAGTTCTTATGGAAGTTGCAGACCTGTGACATCTCAAAGATGTGTTTGTTTGGATGAAACAAGATTTGTGCCCAGGAACCCTAAGAGTTGGGAGACAGCTGATTGGTCTGGTGGTTGTGTGAGAAGAACACCATTGAATTGTGAAGATGGATCAGATGGGTTTATGAAGTATTCTAATGTGAAGTTGCCAGATACACAGAGTTGCTGGTTTAATAGGAGTATGATGTTGAAAGAATGTGAAACGAAATGCTTAATGAATTGTAGTTGTATGGCTTATTCGAATACAGACGCCATTGATGGAGGTGGCTGTTTGCTTTGGTTCAATGATCTTGTTGACATCACAGAGGTTTCAGCTAGTATGGGTGGTCGGGAGATCTTTGTAAGAATGGCTTCCTCTGAATTCGGTAACTATCTTTTTTCTAACATTCACAATGATATCGACTTATGAGAAGTTCAGTTGCAAACTTAAGTTACATTGTGAATCGGAGGACAAATTAAGGAGAATGTGTTACATGTCCCTGACATTCACGGGATATTCATTATGAATAGTGTAAAAGATTCACATTCATTATTCACGACGAATGAGGTTCATTATTCATCATGAATGGGAACAAATGGGGAAACGTGTAGCACTCTCCTTTGTCCTCCATACCCCATTTCACAACGGAAAACACAGATTACTGAACTTTACTTTATACACCTATCTATCTTCTGTTTTCCATCAGGTTCGATTGATCATCTTACCATATCATCTCCGCAAAATAATGTCTTTGCTATGTTAATATCATAATAATAGTTGTTCCATCGGTTTCCAAAACGAAGAAAGGATCAAACATTAGAATCATCTTACTCGTGCCTATTTCGGGAGCTCTTCTCATCGGCTTCATCTCCGCATGGCTATGGTATAGAAGGAAAAAAAGGAATCAAGCCGAAACAACAGGGAAAGGTAAGAAACTTGCACGATATTCACATGTGAATAGATAGATCTTGAACAGATTCTCTTATGAGTTTGAAGTCTGTTGTATTTCAAAACTACATATATATATATATATATATATATATATATATATATATATAGGGAAAATGTTGCATGAAAGCAAGGAAGTAGACATTGATCAGCTACCATTGTTTAGCTTCTCTCAAATATCTAATGCCACTGCAAGTTTTTCACTCCACAATAAACTTGGTGAAGGTGGATTTGGACCTGTTTATAAGGTAATAACATTCACCGTAACAAAATCGAGTTTATACTACGACAAAAGTATTTAAGTGTTCTAACAGACTACTTTACAGGGAGTTTATAGGATCAGATATTTGTATGTCATATCTAAAAGCGTCATATAAACTTATTACAACACCTTTAGGTAGGACACACAAGTGTTTGATCTTAAAAACTTAAGTCTTATAAAGTAGTTTATTAGGATACGTGGACATTGTTGTAGTGATGTGAGAATGGAAAGTCTGATCACCATTGAAGTTGGTATAGTTTTCACTACAATAAAATTGAGGATGGGTTTATAGGATGCCACCAATTTTTAAGCGTCTTGATAGATCGCTTTATAAGACTTAATTTTTAGGACCAAAATATGAGCGTCTTGTCTAAAGGTGTTGTAATGAGTTGATAGGACGCTTTTGGACGTCTTAACAAGTTTTTTAACACACTTTTATTACAAGGCGTCGTATTAACAAATTTTATAGGAAGAAAATGTCCTATAAACTCATCTTTTTATAGGACACTTGTTTTTATAGAAAATAGTGTCCTATAAAATTGATAATGGGACGTTTTTGTATTGAAAGTGTCGTAAAAAGTTTGTTAAGACGCCCAGAAGCGTCTTATAAACTTATTACAACGCATTTATATTAGATAGGTCGCTTTAATTTTTTGGTCCTAAAAATTAAGTCCTTTAAAACGGTTTATTAAGACGCTTTTTGTTGTAGTATTTTCACATTGCAAATGTTGATTAATGATCTTAATTGATCAGGGTATGCTAGAAGAAGGGCTCGAGATTGCGGTTAAGCGTTTGTCGAAGACATCCAGCCAAGGAGTTGATGAGTTCAAGAACGAAGTGATTTGCATTTCGAAACTTCAGCACAGAAATCTTGTGAAGTTGCTCGGCTGTTGCATTCATGGAGACGAGAAGATGTTGATTTACGAGTACATGCCGAATAAAAGCTTAGACTCGTTTATATTTGGTCAGATCATCGATCATATACATCAATTAAGTCGATCATATAATTCCCATATCCGATCTTGTTTAACACGTTGTCCTGTGCAGATAAAAGGGCGAGGCTGCTCCTCGATTGGCCTAAACGATTCAACATTATCAAAGGAATTGCTCGCGGACTTGTTTATCTGCATCAAGATTCGCGATTAAGAATCATCCATCGTGATCTTAAAGCGAGCAACATTCTACTAGATCTTGATATGAACCCTAAGATATCAGACTTTGGCATCGCAAGAAGATTCGGAGGAAATGAGACCGAAGCAAACACAGAAAGAGTCGTTGGCACAAAGTAAGTGTAACAACCCGTCCCATACCAAGGCGTGGTTATTGGGCCAACCAGTTATTTTGAGTTTAGGGCATTACAAATGGTATTAGAACCGATCTTTATACCATCGGGATGATGGGACAAACCTTACTGGACATGAGTTCTTTGAGGAGATTTTTGTAACATCTTAGGTGAATCTCACTTTGCAGATTACATGGAGGAAGATTCTGGGCAGTCTTGACAAGTATGTCAGGAGTTTATGTCCGGGAGTTTAAGTCCGGGAGTTTGTAACAACCCGTCCCATATCGACATAAAAATAGATTTGTGAGCTCCTTGTAAGCTCAAAGGTGTAGGATACCAGTAACTTTTACCATGATTTTAAAGTTGATTTCGAGATTATTGGACCAACCGCCTACTTTGATCTCGGGCGTGTACAGTAAGCCTATTACGAGGACCAAACTATCAGTTTAACGAACTGTTTGGTTCAGACAAGGGAATGTTCATTCTCTTTTAACCTGAAATATAATTTGGGCTTATTAATCTCATTAATTACTTCTTCTATTGCATGCAGTGGCTACATGTCCCCAGAGTACGCACTAGATGGCCTTTTCTCAATAAAGTCAGATGTATTCAGCTTTGGCGTCTTGTTGTTGGAGATCGTAAGTGGGAAGAGAAATAGGGGATTCATCCATCCCGAGCATGATAATAATCTTATCGGACATGTAAGTAATTCTGTGGTCGGTCCTTAACAATCATCTACTTTAGCGTGCTACTGAATAAGAGTCACCTCTGAATCGTTAAGAGGTGAATCTTGTTTGGCGAAAAAAAATATGTCTCTTAATGGTTCTAAAACCATCTTAATGATTCTAAAACCATCTTAATGATTTTGTATCATGGGTCTTCTTTAACCATTCAGCACCCTAATTCCATTATAAATAATTACCGAATAATTATTTTTCATTTTGCACTATTTAATCATTCTGATCACTTAATTATTCTGCATCAAAACATTCAGCAACTGTCAAACAATCCCTAATAAATACATAATTAATCAACTACTAATATCTACAAATTCCGTTCAGGCATGGAGTGTGTATAATGAAGGTAGATCGATGGAATTGATTGATGCAAGTTTAGCCGAATCCTGTGATTCATTCGAAGTTTTAAGATCAATCAAAGTAGGGTTATTATGTGTTCAACAAAACGCCGGAGATAGGCCAAATATGCCATCTGTCGTTATGATGTTGGGTGGTGAGGGTGCATTGCCGCAACCTAAACAACCAGCATTTTTCATGGAAAGGGAGTTACATGTAACCGACTTCTCGTCAAGTTCGTATCCCGGAGGTTCACTCAATGATTTAACTATTACACAGTTAAATGCTCGATAGAAGAACTACTTGTTAATTTTGTTTGAAGTATTTCCGACACCTATTATGATTCTAAACACATCATATATATTGGTATCCCCATCCCCAAAATCGTCCTTGTAACCATCTTGATCCCCGTCGGGGATCTTATCGGGGCCCTGCGGTTTTCCTGTTCCCCATTGGGGAACCCGTTAAGAATAAAAATCCTTGTTGCTCGTTGTTTTCCCCTTTCACCGTTGGTTATACCCAAAACCAAGACATGCCCGATAAAAAATTACAATATATTAATTTTCACAACTAAAAGTAATTACAACTTTTTTAAACATGTAAGTCTAAATCTCTAAAACATAATCAAACCAATTATGAACAATGTCTTAGATTACAAAATATAAAAGTAAATAGAAGTGCAAATATCATTCAACTAACATCACGATTAGACAAATAAACTAGACTTTTTCATGACGCTTATTTGTAGTGTTAAAATAAAGTGGATAAAAATCAGTTAGATTTTAATGTTGGTATTTTTCTTTTATATATATATATAGATTAATATATATTACACACACAAATGTCGTATCAGGTTGGTGATCACCATCAAATGCCTCGAATATGTCCTTGATTCCCGCCCCTTCCCTAATAAGAACTCCCCGATCCTATTCGAAAAATTTGATTTTCGGTTTCTATCATTGGATTCGGTTTTTTTTTTGCATCCCTAATTTGATGCAACTTATTCATACTTCTTATCCATAGAGAATTAAAATCATACTAAATTCAAAAAACAAAGGAATATCAGGTTATTGTATTAATGACTGTGACCCAATTGCAACTCAATATCTACGGTTTAAAGATTTTATAACTTGATTGGATAAAGGAGGTTGTTTGGTAGTTGTTGAATGTTTTAGTGCATAATGATTAAGTGGTCAGAATGTTTAATAGGCTTCCATGATATAATGCAAAATGAAATATAATTGTTTACAATAAAATTAGGATGCTGAATGATTAAGGAAGACTCATAATACAAAATTATTCAGAGGGTTTTAGAACCATTACGAGACAAATATTTTTTTTGTCAAACAAGATTCACCTTATAATGATTCATAGGGGTTGTTTGTTTACCTCTTAATAGTTCCATTAAGAGGCAACTTCTGAATCGTTAAGAGATGAATCTTGTTTCGCAAAAAAAAGTCTGTCTCTTAATGGTTCTAAAACCCTCTGAATGATTTTATATCATGGATCTCCCTTAATCATTTAGAGCTCTAGTTTCATTGTACACAATTACCAAACAATTATATTTCATTTTGCACTATATTATGAAAATCTCTTAACTATTCTAACCACTTAATTATTTTACGTCAAATCATTCAACAATTACGAACATGGTCTAATGGATATCTTAGCATAGGAGGTAATATCCTATTTTCTTTAAGGTGGGCCCAAAAGAAAAAGTTGATTGGATGTTTGGATTTGTCATGAGCACGAGAAACGAAAATGACAAATTTACCCATATACGCCCAGCTTCCCTCCTTCCTCTCAATACCTTCGCCGTACCCGAGAGGCAATTGCGGTCTTAATAAATCCGGCTTTTGCCAGTTGTTCTCCAATGGCTACCTCATCCTCGAAACTCCCTCCACCCAACCCTTTACCCTTCTATTCTATTATATATACATCCATCTCCACCTTTCCCATCATCATTCATCCATACATAAATCCCAATTAATCAATCCCCTTCAAATTTCTCTGATGGATCAATCTGGGTTTCAAGATTTCTTGCCGTTAATGGCGGATAAGTTGGGTGGCGAAGGTCTGATCGGAGAATTATGCAACGGATTCCGGCTGCTTATGGACGCCGACAAGGGTGTCATCACTTTCGAAAGCCTCAAGAACAACTCGTCTCTTTTGGGTCTTGAAGATTTGACGGACGATGATCTGATGAGTATGGTGAAAGAAGGTGATTTTGATGGAGATGGAGCTCTGAATCAGATGGAGTTTTGTGTTCTTATGTTCAGATTAAGCCCTGACTTAATGGATCAGTCTCAGTTTTTGTTGGAAGAAGCTCTTGAACAAGAAGAATTCAATTATTTGTAATTTATTTAGTATTTTATTATCATTTGATGTTGTTTCCAATTTAATTTAATTTAATTTAATTGCATAAAGATAAAAAGGATCTTTTTTCTTTTGACCAATTTGGTAGACGGTCATTGTTGAAAAGTGTTGCTTCAATATTTAACCATAATTAACATGTATTTATGGATTTAGGTAGATCTGATTTAATCTAATCATCTATTGAATGTTGGATTTTATCACCCGATCCGATCTGATTAATATTGGACACCCGATCCAATCCAATCCAAATCCAATGGATGATTGGATGGGATCGGTTCCATCCATTGTATGAACTATTGGTTATTCATTGAATTAGATTGAATTCGTCTAATCTTTTGATCTAATACTCAATTAATTAATCCACCATTTCAACCAATTATTCATATATTTTTTTTAAGTTGTTAAAAAACAATGTACATAATTATCGATTAATTTTTTTTTGTAAAAATGTTAATAACTATATATAGTTATTAATTGGATGATTATTGGATTGTATCGGTTCGGTTTTATTGGATATTGGACTGTCATCCAAGAACCGACAGATTCGATTTGGATGTTGAAATTTTGAATCTGATTCGATCTGATTATGATCGGTCGGTTCTAATTGGATCGGTCGGTTTAAATTGGATCGGATGACTTTCTACCACTCCTAATTTATATCCACAATAACATGAATACATATCCACAATAAAAAAAAAATCATGAAATATTATTTCTCTCCAATTTTCTTTATTTTGGAAAGAAGTTTTGGAAAATGTGTTGAACAATTTATAAACCAAAGCATATCAACTAACCCTTTGAATCTGATGATGATGGAACCCAAGGTTAAACCCGTTGATTTGTATATACATTGAATAATTACACTATCATGTACGTTCTTTATATACACATATTTTCAATCTACTCACATCTCTATATAACTCATTTGTATATATGTTCAGTAACTGTGATTGAGAAAATTAATTAAATGTGATATACCTAAGAAGTATGGATAAGCTGTATTAAATAGTTGATGGTGAAAAAGAAATTATGAGTAGAGAAATAACATATCCAAGATAAGAAGAATATTTTAATGTAACAAAGTATCTACCCGACCGTAATAATTTATTAATTTATTACAATTAAATCAGTCATTTCTGCTAATACACACCCAATAATGGCCGGATAAAAATTCGTCTGTCATCATATAAAGCCAATTTGTCAATTTTTTGTAGTGATTTCACCATAGCGGCTTGCTCGAACTCGGAGTTTCTCCCTTGTTCATATAATCCCTTATTTAAAAATAAGAAAAAAAACGTGATAATATCTTACGTGCCAGACGTGCTGATTTGAACAATTGGTTTTCTTTTTCAACAGTTATTTCAATAAAATTCAAGTATAAGAGTCGTATACATGTATAACAAATATTATATACACGTTGCAACAAAGGCATAAATCGAACGACCAACATAATATCCAAAAAAACCCTAGATCGATGCGCGGGCGATCGATCGATCGATGCTTATCTCTGGCACCATACGACTCGCATCTTCTTCTTCTTCACCATCGGAAGAAGAGACAATATCCTCGAGACTCAACGGCAAACTACTCGAAAAACTCAGCATTGGTTTCACTTTCGGCACCTTGATTTCCTCGGCCTCGTTGTTCAAAATCTGAAACACTCTCCTCATCGACGGCCTCTTCTCGCTATCGGGATTCGCACAACTCAACCCGACCGCCAAAAGCTTCCGAACCTCCTCCCGGTCAAACTCGTTATTAAGGCGTTTATCCACCGCATCGCATATCGCGCCTTTTGAGTGCAACTCCCACACCCAATCAACCAAATTGATCATCTTTTGACCTTCCGATTCCCTCTCGATCGGCCTCCGGCCGCAACACACTTCCAACACCACCACGCCATAGCTGAAAACGTCGGTTTTATCGGTGGCCTTGCCGTACTGAAGGTACTCAGGGGCTAAATACCCCATGGTTCCAGCCGTTAGTGTCGAAACCGGACTTTTATCGTGGTCCATGAGCCGAGCTAGCCCGAAATCACCTAACCGAGCTTTGAAATTCGCATCAAGCATCACGTTGCTGGCTTTTATGTCTCTATGAATCACCTGTTGCTCACATTCTTGATGAAGGTACGTCAAAACCGAAGCTAACCCAGTTGCGATATTGTATCGATGGCTCCATTGCAAGAAACTCCAATGCTCGGAATCCTGATACAACACCTTATCGATACTTCCGTAAGGCATAAACTCGTAAACGAGCAACAATTCGCCCTTCTCGACACACCATCCTTGAAGCGGAACAAGATTCTTGTGCCGCAGGCACGCAATGATCGATAACTCTGCTAAAAACTCTGTCTTTCCTTCGTGAGAATGCTTCGATCGTTTCACGGCCGCCGTAGTGCCGGATGACGCCAGATACGCCTTGTAAACCGATCCGAAAGCACCATGACCGATGATCCGACTCGAATGGAACCCATTTGTGGCGGTTTTAAGCTCTTTGTAACTGAACTGTTTGGGACCTGTTAAAAGCTCTGCTTGAATGTTCATATCTGTTTTAATCCCCTTCCATTTCTTGAAAGAAATGTACCCAAAAACCACAAGAACACCACAGAAGAACACCGGACCCAAGATTCCGATCGCTAATCCGATCTTTTTATGATGATTTTTGTTATGATCATCTTCAGGAACCCCAATTGATGGATTCTTGGAAACTGTGTTATCTGTCACATTGTAAGGATTCTTGATTCTCGGGTTAGGATGTCGGATCCCAAATGATGTGAAGCTCCAATTCTCGATAAAATGGGTTTCTGTGCTTCCTTCTGTTGATGCTGAAAAACCCAGATACATTTCTTCTTGAAAATACCCGGAAAGATCCGTATCCACATCTAAAAGCGGGTTGGTGGGTTTGTAACCCGAATCGCTCAAGAACACTTTGAGATTCTTTCCGTCATTCCAGTAATCAATCCAGGCTGTAATCAAGCTTTCGCTTTTTAAATCAATTCCGATGGAAGTACAATCGGCTGTTTCGATTGAAGTCAAACTATCGATATCCAACCCGATATGGTTATCATTCGGATCATTGAAGTGTAAATCAAGTCGGGTATCGAATTCGATTGCGATGAACTTGTTTTTCGTTAACTGTGAGGAATTAACGAGACCCAAATACCCACCTGGGGATCCGAGAGTTTGGTCGTCGGGTGAAAGGAAGAACGATAGTCCGTCGCCGAACGACGACGACTCACGGTTGACATTATTGACGGTGAAGGAGAATCTGGTGGAGAAAGAGGCGGTGGAATTGGTGGCCCGATCGAAGAATGGAATTGGGGTGTTGTAGATGACGGTGCCGGAGGAGGAAGAAGGGACGCCGGATTCACGAGTGAGTCCGATGATGCCGTTCCGGAGGTAGGAATCGCCGAGGAGAGTGAGGTTACGAAGAGATAGAGATGAAAAGTGGAAGGAGATATCTTGAGATGATACCAGCGGTGATCGGAGTAATGTGAAGGTGAAGAAGGAAATCATCAAGAAAACAAGGTGGTTTCTTGGATTCATGATGATGGAAATCGAATGTGTTGATGAACTCAGAAGATGAAAATGGAGTGACGATTGAAGAAGGTCGGGGGTTGTGGAGGGAATCTATGGAGGTGGGTTTCAAACGGTTAGAAATGGAGGTGGTCGGTTCTATTTTATTAGTACTTGACCCGGTCAACCAAAATATATATCTAACGGTTATATACGTATATAGCGCGTAGATACATATTAGGTGAGAAACATTCAGATGAAATGTATTAAGATGTAACAGATCAATTCTCGTATCAAAGAATAAAGGTTCAGATTTTTTCTTAAAGTTTCTCACTTTAACTCTTCTTTTGATACGATACTTTGCCCTTCAACATATATTCTTTATAATGAAGATTTTGAGAATTTTTTGTTTCAACAGATTCCATAAAGCATCTCTAACAGATTTTCTATAATTTCTTTGAAAGAGAGAACTAAAAATCAAAATCTTTAGAATAAATTACATTCAACTCAAACAGATTTTTTATTTTAGAGATTCCGTCACTAAATGTATTATTTAAATATTTTATAATTTTATGATCCCAATGCACTCTTTTTAAAAAACTTTATATAATTTGTCATTAAATATTTAAAACTTTACATCTTAAATATTAAAATGAAAGTTTTGAAATTATGTTATCTAAAATAGGAATTAAGTTAAAGTTAACTGACTTTTTCGTACAATTTATCCTTAAATGTATAGAATAAAGAAACAATATTTTATGAATAATAATGAATATTTTAATAATATAATTAATATTGTAATTTAATTAAGAAAAAATTAAAAAAGGTTAAAATTTTAACTTAAATAGCATTAAATGTGCATTAATTATTATTTTTTATAAAATATAATGACACATGCATTGCTTAAAAAACAATAATAAGTTCAATTGTAATATTAATAATTGTTGTATATTAATATTTAATAATAATTGTAATATTATTGTGTGTGTAACAAAATGTAAGTTTAAGAGTGATACTAATAATGATGAAAATGGTCAATTTATGAGAAGACGAGAAATTTAAAGATCACACATGATACAAAACATGTTTTCATATTTAGGGGTTGTTTTTTACCTTTTAATAGTTCATTAAGAGACAGTCTCTGAATCGTTAATATGTGAATCTTGTTTGGCAAAAAAAAAAATATGTATGTTAATGTATCTAAAACCCTTTGAATGATTTTGTATCATGAGCTTCCCTTAACCATTCAACGTCCTAATTTAATTGTAAACAACTATATTTCATTTTGCACTATATATAATTTATAAAATCCATGAAATTCAATTTAAACCACAAAAAATAATTGAAAATAAATCTAATATACATTAAAAATATCTTTCCTCTATCGTATCTCATCTTTCCTATTTTTCCTCTCATGATTTATCTCTTCTCTCTCCATAAAATGCACGTAGACACATAATTGGATATGAACTGTAGATGAACACATTGTGAACACTTTCTTAAAAATAATATTATAATTTGTGAAAATGTTGTGAACACATTTTTAAATTTACAAGATCTGGTATTGTTTGTGAACATATTGTGAACACAAACCAAATCTAAACATACTACTTGTGACATAATGTGAACACCCTAGTAAAAGTTATTAGAGAACAGAACAAACAAAAAGGTTCTGGGCAGAAGATTCTGCAAGAAATGAAAACAAACAAACCCACAAAAACCAGAGAAAAATACGGCAAAAACAAGAATAAAACCCGAAGCAAAGAAACAAGCAGCACACAATCCAACTCCAAACCCAAAGAACAAAACCCCGACACAAACACTAACGAAGAAACGCAACACTACACCAACCAAACACAAACTAGCTAAAATTACCGAGATTGCAGCACCACTCCGACCACGAGATAACAAAATTCTTGCACTTGTCGGAAACACAAGTAAAGGAAACAGCCGAGTTCCGAACGCGAGATCCGTATGTGAAAGAGGAATACTCTGGAGAAAAAAAAATTCAAAACCTCTACACCGCATATAACCTGCCCAGAAAAACGCATGGCACATCTGAACTTTTGCATTTGGAATCGAATTACTAAAAGTTTTTTTTGAGTTATATAATATTTATATACGGCAAATAGAACAAATAAACTCACTTACCCTCCTCACCTTTGGTGATATTTAAACCTCTGACCTCCTAAGAAGCAAAAGGCTCACATACCGTTAAACCAAATGTCATTTGATGAATTACTAGAAGTCTTATTGGCTATTAATCTCAAAACTTCATAATAATTAGTTCAAAATACATACAAACTAGTATGAACATTCATAATACATACTAGGGTGGTGTTTGATTGATTTGAGTTTGACTCCATAGATTAAAAGCACCAGGAGGTCTCAGGTTCAAATCTAAGGAGAAATAAAAATCTCCTTGTGGTTACAGAGGTTCAAATGCGGTGACTCCGGACTATCTACAAAGTATGTGGTCGTCCTAGAATTAATCGGCTCACATAACATGTTGGATATCCATGTTAATAAAAAAAACATTCATAATTATTATAAAAAGAATTGATAAGGAGTAAAAAGAAATAAAAGGAGGTATAATAATAATAATAATAATAATAATAATAATAATAATAATAATAATAATAATAATAATAATAATAATAATAATTTAAAAAGTGGGCCCGGAGAGCGCAATGTGGTTAGCACTTGGTTGTGGTCAAATAAGGCCGTTGAGGCGGTACACAGTGGTGCCCCATATGTTTTTATTCGTCCAAAATTCAATCTCAACCATTTAAAATTTAATTCTAAATTTTAATATTATTTGTAAGAAAACAAATTATGAGATTTCGTGTGTAGAAAATCAACCGATCCAATTAAAATCGACTGATTTAATTAGAACTTATTGTATATCCAATTGTAATTGATCGGATTGGGTTGAAATTTCAACATCCAATTTGGATCGGTCGATCATCAGATGACAGTCTAAAACCGACCAAAAACAAACCGAAACAATTAGTCATCCAATTAATCATCCGATGATCATCCATTGGATTGGGTTGAATTGGTTATCCAATGTTAATCAGATCGGATCAGTTGGCAAAATCCAACATCCAATATATGATTGGATCGGATCGGTTCGGTTCTCTTACATTCAAATGATGTCAACTGATAAACAGGCTAGTACACTCTCATCTACTCATGATATATAAATTTTATATGTATCTTGATTCATCTTATAAACGTTGAAATTGATGCTTGTAAAAACCTTCAGTGATCTTAAGGTTTATTCATACATCAAAGTAATGGAGTAATACTGAAAATCAGTGCCACCTTGCATTACACAGTTTTTATAGTTATATATATTCATGACAGTTTATATGCATTTTAACTGATCTTATAGAAGTTGAAGTTAACTGCTGAAAAAAAAACCCCTTTAGGGACCTTGAGGTATATTTATACATCGAAGTAGTGGAGTAATATCGAAAATTGGTGCCACTTTAGACTACACGGGTTTACGTTGTCATCGAGAATCTGTTTCTACGTTGATGTGTATGATCAGTAAAACTCAAAGACGGAACAGGTAGCAAGGAGATATCCACCAACAAAAACTCCCCTTGATATCTCTTAACAGCCCGTGGACACGAAACATGACTCTCAAGGAGTTCTTCCTTTAACAATGATCGAAATGGATAAGCCCAAATTTAGTGCCTTAGTCAAACTAAATACTGATAATTGGTATCAGAGTTAACTTAAATCGATTTATTATCTTGACTATATTTAAAATTCAGTGTTATTGTTGCCTATGCGCCTAGGCAACGCCATAAAAGAGTATGTTTTGATTTTCTTAAAACTTCATTTTTTAAACTTCTTTTAAACTGGGTTTTTAGAATTTTCATCATGAGTATATTTATACTGACATCTTTGAAGTAATATAAATATTTACCTGATTTCATAAATATTTATACTAACATCTTTAAAGCAGATGATCGCTTTAGGATAAGTCGGTTTGCATAGCAGGTTGGATATCCAGGTTAATAAAAAAAATGGATGTGTTGGTCAAATTCAATTATACATATATGTTATTATTTAAATCCAATAAATCATGGCATTAAAAATGTAGATAAAAGAATTAGATATAAGATATGGATTGCGGTTCTTTGGTGCGGATTTTAGATCATTCGAAATTTTCGGAACCAGAAGGTGTGTTCCAAGAAACCTCCTAGCTTTAGATCGAGATTTATTTTTCGACATTCGGTTGATTTATCTTTATTGGTTTTTCGGAGTTATACTTCAGAGTTATTTTAAGAGTGTAAGCCTGAAGTAGCATCGTACTTTTGATAATCATTCATATATGTAAGATAAGTTTATGACATGATATAATTTTTTCAAATTACTATATATAATACATGGAATCGAACCTAGTATATATATATATATATATATATATATATATTAATTGGCATCCTGTTGGTGAATGAGAATATTGGATAGATACGATTTGACTCAATCTCCTATGATTAATTTAATTAATATATATTATTTTATTTAAGTTATAGAGTTATAGAGCCGTTGTGACGCCCAATTTAAGGTGCCTTAAATTTATCAAACATTATTTATTTATTATTCTTAGACTTAATCTTAATCGAAATACTTGAGATTACTTATAAAAATAATTTATTAATTTATTTCGGTATAATATCGGTAATAAACATTATTTAGTATTTGGATAAACAGTTTATATCGATGTCAAACTGATAATAAGTAATATTTAAAGAAGTTAAATTATTCTAACTTATAATGAAATAAAATAAAAATTTATAGAAAAACATAAGTTGTTTCAAATAAACAATCTCCCAAACACCCCTAAATAAATAGTGAGATAAGTAACATGGTTTTCTTTAAATGGCCGTCTATTTATCATGTACACACATGTCTATCAGTCTATGTCTTTAATTATTGCTTAAGTATTTTATTTTATTTAATAATCATTATTACTCAATTATTTTTTACTAGAGGGATACTCATACAACGTA